AATATTATATTATTGGAAATAATATTGTACATCCCTTTGGATATAGCATCCATAAGGTTCTTATACTGTCTTGATAATACTTGTTCACTTTAGATTAACAAAAATAATTTTAGATCAATTTTGTAAAATTAATTTCAACTCAGTAAAAATCAGTAACTTTATAGAAGAAATATAATAGAGAATCAGTATAAAAAAATAATTTTATTTTAGTAAAATTAATTTCAACTTAGTAAAAAATGAATTAAATTTAGCAAAAATAATTTCAATTAAGTAAAAATAATTTCAATTTAGCAAAATTAAGGTGAAGTTAACAGGATCTAATACGAGTATAATATAGTTATATAAGTTGAAAAAATAATTAAAAAAAAAAACAAAATTGTTATGAGACCACCACATATTTCTTGAGGAGGTGTATGTGAGTCGGATGGTATCCCATTGTATCAAATATTTATTACTTTTACTTATGTAATCTTTTTTCCCATCTAATATAACATGCCAGATCATTTACAAATTATTGACTATGAGATATTATGTTTTGATATTTTCCAAAATCAGTGATCATGAAATATTATAATCATGACTGGTTACCAAATTTGTTGATGGCAAGATATTACATTCCACATTCCTAATTTTTTTTTTTACCATATTGGTTGATACTTTAAATTAGGTTGTTTACGGATCGGATATCACATTTTGGATCGGATATCCGTATACTCAGATATTAAAAACCGATATCAAAATTCGATTCGAAAATTTCGGATATCTTATCCGATATTTGGATATTCAAAATTTTGGGATGGGATGCTTCGGATATTCATTATCGAATATTAAGTATAATTGATTATTATTACTTTCTAAATTTTGCTAAATTTTCCCTTTTTTATCGTTAAAGTTGTACAACATATTTTGAAAAAAAATAGCAGTTTTTTTTTTGTGAAAAACTAAACGAAGCCCTCGATCATCTAACTAACACCCGCAAATTAAACTAAAATTACAAATTTACCCTTGTTTGATTAAAAAAAGTTATTATCTAACTAACGCCCTCGATTATCTATCCACACCATCACCATCCTCGGACTCAGAATCCTATATAAATATTAATAAAAGTCAAGAACCAACAAACACGACTAATAATAATGATAATAACAATTTTAACAATACAACTAATTATAAAAAAAACTTAATATATTCAATGATATAAATAATAATTTAAACCCTATAATCATTCTAATACAATATTATAATTTTATAAAATTATTTTAATAACAATAATAATTTCAAAAGTGTAAAATCCAATAACAATCAACCTATACGTGAAATAAAAAACAAACAAAAAAGAAAAAAAAAATTGAAACCTAGGAAACGCCTAGGATTTTCGAATGACCTAGGCTGAAACGCCTAGTTTTAGGCGTTTCAACCTAGGGCATTCGAAAACTTTTGGCGTTCCTGGGTTTTGAATTTTTTTAAAAAAATTAACGCAACGTATCGATTCTGTACGGTTCGATGAGCCTTCGGCGAGGGTCAAAGGTTGTGTTTCTGGTATTTCGTCGTTGTCCCTAAGATCTAACGAATTTGATTTTGCAAAATTTAAAAAATTTGTTTGATTTTAAGGTGGTTGGGGTTGTTGTCCAATGAACGTCAGTGGCCGTTGACCACTAGAGAGAACGGTAAAAAGTTTTGTGTACAGTAAAAATGTGAAATTGAGGTAAAATTAATTATTTTTATAATCATTATTATAAGGTTAATTACGTAATTTAATTTTATTTTGCAGGCGTTAGTTAGATAATCGAGGGCGATATTTTTTTTCAATAAAATTTATCGTAAAATATATTAAGAATATTATAATAAGTTAATAATACAGAGAGTGAGGGATAACTGAAGTGGTTAGAGCTTAAAAAAAAACAGGGTCAGTTTTATATGAACAAATTAAAAAAAAAAAAACTCAAAGCGGTGCATCTATTGAGAAACGAAGGAAAATTGAATGTATGATGCATCTAATTTTGAAATTTCATATGATATATCTTTACTACTTTTCTTGGATTAAAGTCTTAAATTTTGATGGTCAACTAAGGCTCCGTTCAATTCACCTTATTTTTGCTAAATTGAAATTATTTTTACTGAAACAAAATTATATTTGTTGAACTTAAATTATTGTTACTGAACTTAATTAATTACTAAACTGAAATTATTTTTGCTGAACTGAAATTATTTTTTACTGATTTTCTATTATAATTCTTCTTTAAGAAAACTAAATTTTGCTAAACTGAAATTATTTTTAATGAACTGAAATTAATTTTACTGAACTGAAATTATTTTTACTTAATATTTTTTTTAAGGTGAAGTGAACAGGTCTAAGAAGCATATATAATACTCACGCTATCTATTCCATAATTAGGGTTTGTATTCCTTTTTGAGTGTCTCAAAATATGTTTTCCATTTGAAATTTTTTTGCTTTAATCATAAAATTATTTTTATCAAAATACCATCATTACACATTAAAATTTGTGCCCATATTATTTATTTATTTTAATAAGACTAGCATTAATTTTGAAAACAAATATCTTTTTTTTTTTTTGAAACCATTGAAAACAAATATCTTTATTGAAAATAGATTTGTTAAATGAAATGTCACATTTTTTCATAGCAAAAAATCAATACAATAATCCAAACTTCATTAATTATTATTTTATTTTATTTTTCACCCTTATTGGTTTCTTAGTGGATGTCATGTTTCCCAGCCTTCCAAGTTATTGTAAAGTATTTTAGTTGACAAATAAAAACATGATAATTTGAAATTCTTAAGAATTGAAATTGTTTGGAGGTTTTTGGTTGACAAATTCATGAGAAATAGAAATTACCATGAATTTCCACTTCCTCCAAAATAAATGAAGTAGTATCTAAGGAAACCTAGGTAAGTGGAACCTCCTATGGGAATTTCCACTTCCCTTAGTTAACCCATCACTTTTTAGAATTTTCTAGAAAGTTCAATTTCATGGGAAATCAAATTTCCTACATTCAACTAAACAAGCTCATTCACATCCTAAAATGTGTTGCTTATTTGCTTCATTTTCTTCGCAAAACTTACAAAGCTCCAAGATTGAAATAATAAACCCTTTGAAAAGGCCAAAAACTCATTGGTGAAGGTTTTCCATTTGGAAGTTCTGGGGTTGGGGTGGGTTTGAGCCTTTGAGGTGAGTATGGATATCAGAGTTGGTGGTGGGGCGGAGATGGATATTAGCTTGTATTCGGCGAGGCGGGTATGGATGTGGATACATGGGCAGTGGGCCGGTGGAGCGAGGATAGGTATAAGATTTTTCAGCAGGGATGGGTATGGATTTTAGCCCTCCTGGAGGTATTATCCTCCACATATGACACGCCTCATTGTCATCCCTAAGTCATGTGAGTATATAATTGTCGAAACTGTGTCAATGCATAGTATCTGGATCTCTAGTTTTTTATAATTTACGTTTTTTATAATTTACAACACATTACTCCAATAAGCATGAATAGATATCTTGTATCTACAACCCTTCAAAAGCCCCAACATGTGTTACTATTTGAAATTAATAGTGTAATGACGCTTTTACCCTTATGTCTTTGTTAAAATCTACAACCCTTCAAAAGCTCCAACATGTGTTACTATTTGAAATTAATAGTGTAATGACATTTTTACCCTTATGTCTTTGTTAAAATACTTTATGTCCCTTTGCTTTAAATTTTTTTTTATCCTTTTTCTCAGTCTCTTTTTCCCCCTATTTTGTTGGTCTTTTTTGAATGCTGAATCAGCAGGCTATGGTCTTCTCATCTCCCTAATTTCCTCACAACCGTTCATGTTTTCGTTTTCTTCTTTGACTACTATAGTATCAACTTGATTCTCCTCACAATAATACGCTCCTTCTCCCCGACTAATTTAGGGCTTTAGCGTTTACGAAAGCAAAGTTTAAACAATCTTCAATGTCGGACGACAATTACAATGATATTGATATGGGATAAACGAACCCTAAAGCAATTCAATCTCTTCAGGTATTTCCTCTCTCCTAAATTTGGGTTCTTTTTTATGTTTTCTTGGTTTCTTTGTAACAAGCAAATCAATCTCTAAAACTATTTTCTATTGTTGGCAGTGGCGGACCTAGAAATTTGACAATGGGGGGACAATTTCGATAATTCAACTAACATCAACCTATTTAAAAAAAAACGGGTATACAATACAAGTAATTTGGGTTTGGTTGGAAAATAGGAATAAGGGAGTAGTCGATTGGTATGGCTGAAATAAAACACCCCCCCAAAAAAGAAGTGATGTTACAAGGGGGATTCGAATGCCATATTATCTTGTGATGTTAATTTCTTAGCAAACTAGGTTAGGTCCGGTTATTGACAAAAAAAAATCATGTACGTATATATTTATTAGTGATTATATATTGTAATATCTCGTTTTTAGTCATTAATTTTGTCTGTCTCAATTGTATCCTTGAAACGGATATTATGTTTGCCACATAAAAAGTTATAGTAGAAGATTGTATTTTTTGAAAATATTTACAAAGATTATATTTTGCTATTCTATTTTCCATATTAATTAGTTAATTGAATGTGAATATTTGCCATTTGCCGAAAATTTTCTATATTTTACTAAGGACACACCAGAAACTGACACGTGTCATTGCTGGTGTATCTTTTAGTATATAGTTATTGACATTTGCCGAAAATGCTCGCTGCAGTCTGTGACTCGTGACCGCGTGGGTGGTGATTTGTGCCTCATAGTTGGGAAATAGGAATAAGAAGTAGTCGAGTGGTTTGGTTAAAATAAAGGAATTTTTTATTTTTACCACCTCCAAAAAACAACTTAATTGCTTTTACCACCTCCACATAAAAAAAAAGTTTTATTTTATCACCACATAAAAAAATGAAAATTGACTTTTACCACCAATCACCGCCAACTAACGGATTCAGTCCATAAATTCGTTAGTGGAGCCTATCATGTCCACCTGTTACCAATATTATTCGGTAAAAAAATAAATTAATTAACAAATAAAAAAACAAAACCCAATAATATAGTGACACGTGGACATGATACGCCCCTAACGGATTTATGGACGGAATCCGTTAGTTGGAGGTGATTGGTAGTAAAAGCCAATTTTTTTTTTTTATGTGGTCGTAAAATTTAATTTTCCTTATAGAGGTGGTAATGCCAAAATTTTCGCTTTTTTCGGGTGGTAAAAGTCAAAATAACTTAAAATAAAAAACTCAAAAAAAAAAATAAATGATGTTACAAGGGGGATTCGAACCCTGATCTAGGTAAACCTAAAATTGGGTTTCTTGACATATTATTTTTAGCCCACTACCAACTTAGCTAAGGCAAACTTCTTATTTATTTTTACACTCAATTTTATATAACTATTTTTCCAGTTTTATTTTTTTCCTAAAATTTTTTTTCCTCTGTTTTTTTTTTTCCCGAAAGTGGGGGGACAATGGTCCCCCCTTGTTCCTTCATGGGTCCGCCCTTGATTGCTGGTAGTGTTGGTATGATAGGACGTCAGATTATGGAAACTACATAATTTGACTATCTCTAAATCAATACTCAATTTGATGGTTTTTAAAACATGAATGAAGTAACAACAGCAAAACCGAGGCTCAAGAATGAGAAGAATTGGAAGAATTACAGCTTGACCCTTCTCCGATTGGAAAATTACAGGTACGATTGTCAAATTTCTTCTCTTTTTCTCTAATTTCCTGATAATTATAGGGGTTTTCTTAATTTCCTTAATTAACCGGGGTTTTCTTAATTTTCCATCAAATTTCTGTTAGTGTTGGTATGAATGTATGATAGGTACAAATGTTTTGGGTTTTGTCAATTTCTCATTACTATATGTTTAATTATTTTGTCAATTTTGATTCTGTTTTGCCTAATTAATCTGCTTTTTTTTTTTTCTTTCTTTCTATTTGATATATAATTGAAACTATAATTACATTATATGTTGTCTGTATGTAAGCAGCATTTGAAGAACTCCCTGTCAATAAGAAAAAGGTCGAGAAAAAAAGATTAATTAGGTATTTTTACTGCATGCTTAATAATATCTTGTTTAATATATGAGTCAATGATTAATGTTTTTTTTCTTCCTTTAATGAGTGCTTAATAATAGATCCCTGCTTCTATATGTTTCAGTTTTTTTTTTTTTTTTTTTTTTTTAAATAAAAAAAAATCTTTTAGTTTTAGGCTTTTGATTTTCGCTGCTTTAAATTACCTTGATGTTATTTAAGTAATATTGTTGATTTTATACTGTTAGAATCGTTTAAAGTCTTTTGTAGTGATGATGTTAATTCAACAGTCAAGGAGACTGTCAGTTTTAAATTATTGAGTAATGACTGCGCTAAAGAGTGGTAGTTGGTAACTAAACGCTGGAGAATTTTCAATAATTGATTGGCGAAAGTTAATAGCCTTTGTATGACAAAATTAATTAGAAGACCTGGCTCCGCTCATTTTGTAGTGAGTGAAAGAGTTATGTCTTCGTCGTGTGCAATTACTAGATATATAAATGGATCAAATTATGGAGATAATTAAGTTCGTACATTTGGGTCGTCGTTTTGTCATAGCTAGAGGTACTAACGATCTTTGGACTAGTAAAATAGGCCAAAGCCCAATTGGACGGATCCTATAAGGTCACAGAAAGGGGCTAGATCGAGCATTAGAGGACGAGGCCCATCATGGGCCTCATCACTCTAGGTGGCCGGCCATGTAGAGGATTAAAAGATGTTTTGGGCTTCGTGCCCTAGTCTAATTATAATGAGATTATAAATAGACTAGGTACCTAGGTTTGCAAGTAGAGTAAGCAATTAACTGATCAGTGTGATCAAACCCTAATTAGCAAACACGAAACCCAACACCTCTCATAGTCCTCTCTCTCACGGTTCTCTCCTCCTCCTCGGCGCACGGTGGTGTCTCGTGGTGGTGATGGTTCATGCGGTGGTCGGTTGTCCATAAAGGTGGTGATCGCGGTTTTCCTCAATCACTCGACCAATCTAGTATTGGTGGACGGCTCGTTCGAATCTCGTGGACTAAGTAGAGGACGGAGCAACGCTTGCGGCTCTATTCTCTCCCTAATTTGCCTGTCGAATAGCTTCGTGGAATTCATGCGTCAAAGGTATGATTATGTGTCTTGTGTGTTATGCATGTGATCTTGGGATTGGTACTTGATTGAATATGATTCATATTATTTCCGCTGCGTAGTACCTATAAACTCCTACAGTGGTATCAGTTAGCCTCTTGCATGAACGCGCTAGATCATAATAATACGATTATTTGATGTCCATGTTAATTTTATAATCAATTAAGAGGGAGAAATTAATTTAATTATGGTTCAATTATTATATTTTAAGGTGATTAAACTTTTGGAATCGATTAAATGTGATTTAATTATGCTCAAATTGCCATGAAGATGACCGAATTTTAGCCCTAAATTGTTCGAAATTTTCGAACCCCCCAACCCTAAATTTTGAATTTTTCGAAAATCCTAATCCTAAAATATGATTTTTGTGCTTGATTATGACATAATGCACCCTAAATCAGAAAATAAATCCTCATGGGTTTTCTCATGGAAACTATCTAAGAGGTATTATTCCTACAATCGCGTAGAAACTAAGTGTTTGTTGCTTGCGATAGTGACTTTATAGAAAGAATGTCTTCCTACAAATCCAAGTGGGAGTAAAGTTAGATCTCAATGAGATTCGAGACGAGCAACAAATGGATGTAGATAACACTACATCAGAGACAAATGCGCCCGAAATCAGCTAATTTGATAAAACATGTGTCGAAGCAAGCTAATTCAACTAGTGAAACTTCTATCGTCCTATTAGAATGAAAGGCTTCAAAGAGTTGAAGAGAATAATTCTATTGTCGCTCATACCTATCGTAGGTTACTTGGGATCAAAACAAACAATTTGTTAAAATTCTGAGAAAAGGTGGATTCTAAAATTTTCTTATTAGAACGGTTAGAATCCATGGCCTACAAGAAAGCTTTGGATAAGTGCTAACTCGGGAAATGGCTTAAAGCCATGAAATCCAGTATGGACTCCATGATTGTAAAAATGTGTTAGTCCATAATAGTCTTACAAATAGGGTCAAACCTATTAGTTGGGTAAGTATATTCGGATTATTTTAGTTATGGAGATCAAAATCACCTTCATGAAATGTTCTTGATGGTGAGTATGTATATGATACATCCTAAGAGTTTGAAATCCAGAAATTCCTAGAAAGTTTTGCAAACTTCAGAAATTCATTTAATGGATTGAAGTAAGCATCAGGGAGTTGGAACATTCGTTTTGATTAGGCAATCAAACAGTTTGATTTCCTTAGTAGAACGAAAAAGGAATCTTGTAGAGACAAGAAGTTTAGTGGGAGTAATTGGTCTTTTAAGTCTAGTATGTAGTTGACATACAATTCATATGAAATGATATATCAATGCTTGAATAAGTCAAGCAGTGGTTAGAAAGATTGTTTCTATATGATAGACTTAGGAGATGTTGAGTACATATTGGTAATTAAGATCCATGAAGTGAATCTTGAAGAATGAGGGAATGAATCGAGAGACTTATGTTGATACGGATCTTGACAAGTTCATGAAACAAAACTCTAAGATAGGATATCTTCCCATGTCTCATGGTATTACACTCAGTAAAACTCAGTGCCTTCAAAAGCCAATAGAGTTGAGTTGTATGGATAATGTACCTCATGCTTTTGCAAAAGGGTCCATTACATGTGCCATGAAATGTACAAAACAAGATGTTGCATATGACTTGTGCATGTGTAGCAGGTTTCAAGCAAATACAGAATAAGCATACGGAGAATTACCAAGAACAGATCCTTGAGTACTTGAGAAGCACTAAAAGGAATTCTTCTAGCTATTATGTTAAATGGTAGTTTAAGCAAGTTGTCAAAAGGTTACACAAATGCAAGTTTTCCAAACAGGCAAGATGATTCTAGATGGTGATCTAAATGCATATTTGTGTCTGGATGGAAAAGGACAGTGAGCTTGAAGAGTTTAAAGCAGAGCACTGTTGCATACTCAATGTCAAAATATGTGTATTAAACTATAGTAAGATAGTTACAGAGGAAAGTTCGGATTAAAAGGTCATGTGACTAACAGGTCACCTTTGCCCAAGAACAAAGGAGCCAGAGTCATATCACAAATCCAAACAAAAGGATATGAGATATCACCTCAATTATGAGATCATTGACCAGCGAAAGGTCGTGTTCTGCAAAGTTTTATTATGAGTAAGAAATCACTAAACCCCTTCCATGGACTAAGGTATGAGAGTCATGTTAAAGTCTTAGGATTGAAGCAAGTTATGTAATTTAAGTTGTATATGTTTTGAGAAAAAATATTACATGAGAAATGCATCAATTTGTAGAATTATGTTTAAAATAGAAATTATTATTTCTCTTATTTAATTATGGTTTTGGAAATTAAATAAAATGTCCAAAATAATTATGAATTGATGGGCTCATCAGGTTGATGACCTGGTGAATTGAAACTTCACAGGTGAACAAAATTCATATATTATTTAAGGTTTCTGGTTCGAGATCATTAAAGTGGACATAAATGATTTCAATAAATGAACTAGCATGTAAGATTGATTGGATAGCGCAGTTTCATGGGTTATAGGGGCATGGTGATGCTCGATCAATCACTTTGATATGCATGAATGATGCATGATCGAACTATTGACCTACTTTGAAGTTCAAGTATAGAGCTTTTGTATATATTAGTGGATTCCTTTGACATGAGTGGAACATTGATTTCATTCAATGGAAGTTGTGACTGTGGTACACTCAAACGTCTAGCCGTAACTTATAAAGGGTGTTTCCCGGTTATTTCAGAAGTTGAGTGGGAGTCATGTTGCCACAAGATTGGATAGAGTCTACCTATTAAATTAGGAAATATGTCATGGCCGCTTGAAGAGGGAGAATTTAGAAAATACGTGGTCGCGTTCAAATGCATTACACAGTAATCATTTGGTTTTGTAATTCTAACTCAGATTTCAAGAAACGATTTGTAGATTAATATGATCTCGACATGTGATGCAATCATATTATCAAATCGACACATATATTGACTTAAGGAATTTGAATATTGCACCCTTGTCTCAGACAAGTGGGAGATTGAAGGAGTTATGTCTTCGTCGTGTGCAATTACTAGATATATAAATGGATCAAATTATGGAGATAATTAAGTTTGTACATTTGGGTCGTCGTTTTTCCATAGCTAGAGGTACTAACGATCTTTGGACTAGTAAAATAGGCCAAAGCCTAATTGGACGGGTCCTATAAGGTCACACAAAGGGGCTAGATCGAGCATTAGAGGACGAGGCCTATCATGGGCCTCATCACTCTAGGTGGCCGGCCATGTAGAGGATTAGAAGTGGTTTTTGGGCTTCGTGCCCTAGTCTAATCATAATGCGATTATAAATAGACTAGGTGTCTAGGTTTGCAATGAAAAGTAAGCAATTAACTGATGAGTGTGATCAAACCCTAATTAGCAAACACGAAACCCAACCCCTCTCATAGTCCTCTCTCTCATGGTTCTCTCCTCCTCCTCGGCGCACGGTGGTGTCTCGTGGTGGTGGTGGTTCGTGCGATGATCGGTTGTTTATAAATGTGGTGATCGCGGTTTTCCTCAATCACTCGACCAATCTAGTATTGGTGGACGGCTCGTTCGAATCTCGTGGACTAAGTAGAGGAGCAACGCTTGGGGCTCTATTCTCTCCCTAATTTTCCTATCGAATAGCTTCGGGAATTCACGCGTCAAAGGTATTATTATGTTGCTTGTGTGTTATGCATGTGATCTTGGGATTGGTACTTGATTGAATATGATTCATATTATTTCCGCTGCGTAGTACCTATAAACTCCTACAGTGAGTTCTCAGCATTTTAAAAAAATTGTCAATAATTTGAGGATGGTTTAGTGACTGTAGTCTTTTGTGAATTGGAATGAGATTAGTTTGGGAATACATAATCAAATAGGATTGTACCTTGTGGCTGTTGTGGGTGATTCAGTCTTAATATGGAGGTGTGGCTAGTTGAAGTTTGTGAATTCTATAGGAAGGGTTACAGTCACTTTTTAATTGTTGAGTATTGAGTGTCCAGCAGACTGGTAATTGGTAGTGACAGGTTGAGATTTTCATATTTTGTTGATTAATGAGAGTTTATATGGTGCCTTACAAAACTAACTTAAAGCTGCTTATACTGCCTCATAATAATTTTGAATTGAGCAGTATAGGATTCATAAAAAATGAATAAAAAGAAAATGTGCGAGGGTAGAATAGTTTGTTGCGGTCTTGTGACTCAAATTAGAATGAGATTTTATGCTTTGTAAGTGTTGAAATAAGTGACTATGAGAAGATTTGATTGTTTGGACAAAAATATACTAAGGTCAGTGTTTATCATGAGGCTCTTGCCTATGGTAAGGACTGCAGAGGTGCAGAGTGCAGATTAGAAGTCATTAGATGTCCATTTCACAATGTATCACTAAAGTCTCTTTGAAGAAGAAAGTCAAGATACAAGAGCACATTTTAGTTCATTTTAATTAAAAATAAAAAATGTTGATAATTGGCAATCATTTGTTAGGTCCAACAATCAATGTTTGATCTTAACCTTAATTTTTGATTTGGATCTTATGTGTTAATCACCCTCTAATTTCTAACAGGTTTGTTGTATGGGGGCTAGAAATCAAACAATTTGCAAATGAAGTACAAAAAGAATTGCAAGGAAAGCAAAGAGAGTTCAAGGCTGACAAGATACGGGGAAATGATGTGCGTGTATCTCAGGTGGGTATGAGTGTTTATTAAACCCTTTAAGTAGTACCTATTATAGCCAACAATTTTTTGTTGATGAAATTTTGCTTATTGTTGTAGTTATTATCTATTGTCATTATTTGATATTCTTTGGCTGTAATTTAAGTAGTGATATGGTCCATTGTTGATGAGATAACTGAATAGCTCTCAAGCAACCTAACCTGCCATAAAAAAAGATGAAATCCCGTTGCAGATTCCGTGCATCGGTTGATCATGAAATGCTCCCCTTAAGTGAATTTACACTCTTTAGAGTGGTGAATTGTTAGATATATTTATAGGGAAAATTGAATGCTTCCCTACTGCTGCTTCATTAGCATGTGGATTTGAGAAGAAGAATAACGAAACAATTTTGGTTTTCGATCTTGGAGGTGGTAATTTTAATGTTTCGGGTGAGTTCTTCAAAAAGAAAAACTCCAATTGTGAGAAATTTTATGTATTTATCAGCCTTCTGCAATAGTTTACTTTTTGATGCAGTACATCAGATTTTCTTACCTTACAAATCTTTCTGCCTTTTGCAGTTCTTGAGGTTGGAGACGGAGTTTTCAAGGTGTTATCTACATCAGGTGACACTCATTTGGGTGGCGATGACTCCGATAAGGTAGGAAACAAGGAATCGGCGTGCCTAATTATGTGTTAGCTTGAATCGGTTCTTTAATTTTGTGCAGCGAAATGATACAGTTGTTTGTAATTGCTACTACACAGAATGGTAGATTGGCTAGCAGAAACTTTCAAGAAGAATGGGGATATTGATCTTCGGAATAACAGACAAGCTCTTCGGCGCCTAACTAAAGCTGTTGAGAAGGCAAAGATTGAGCTTTTAACGTTAACTCATATTAGCATTAGGCAAGTAAATGTATGTAAATACTTTTTCACAGGTTTGTGCCTTCAGACATCATTTTGGATTTTACTAAAATTGTCTATGGTGTGTTTTGACAACTTGCCTTTCATTACTTCAACACTAGATAGAAAGGAGAGAGAGAGAGAAGGGGGGGGGGGGAGAGGGAGAGGTGGAAAAAGGGGAATAAGGGGCAGGCTAGGAGAGAAGAGGAAGGGGCACACCGTGAGAAGAGAGGTGTCAGGAGAGAGAGAAAGAAAAAGGGGTAGGGAGAGACACAAAGGGTGAGAAAAAGGGGTCAGGAGTGAGGAGCCGGAAGAAGAGAGAGATATAGCAAGAAAGAAGAGTTAGGAGAAAGAGCGAGTGAAATAAAGAGAGAATGAGAAAGAGGGCCACGAGAGAGGAATAAGGGTCAAAAGAAATAGAAAGAGAACAATAAGGGAAAGTGGGGTTAGGATAGAGAGTGTGAGATAGGTAGGTTGGGGAAGAGAGAGAAGGCCCGGGAGAGAAAGGGATAGAGAGGCCGGAAGAATTAATGAGGCAATTAGAGATAAGAGAAGCTGAGAAAAATAAAGGGGGTTCAAGAGAAAGGGGGGGGGGGGGGGGGAAGGGAGCAAGTGTAACCTATAATTTTTAATGTCTTTAATAGGATAGAATAGAGACAAATTGGATTAGAAAGAAAGAGACTAACACTATGTTTGGATAATAATAGTGGAAGGAAAGGGAGGGATAGGCAATACCATAGCCTAAAATTTGATATAATTATTATCTAAGACAAATTAATTAATTTTTCCTTTTTTAGATTACTTTGACATTGTTGAATGTTTTCCCTTTCTGTTTTTGTTGAATTGCTTGTTTATTAATCGTATCATCATTGAATGTTTTCACACACTGTGGAGTGATTAGTATGTATGATGGATTTCTGTTGTAAAATCAATTGTAGGTATTGTATATATCACATGTGCCTTGTAGGATTCACTTGTAAAGGATATGATTGTTGTATTTTGTGTATCCATTTCTTGTTCTCCTGTTTGAGTTTGGATTGTCTAGGATTTGCGTGTAAGTATTGCAGTGAGGTTTTCCTGTATTCCGCTTTTCTTATTAATTAATACATACGTGGTAATGAGTTTATTTTCATAAATTTTTATAATTAATCAAAGGAAACTTTTATTTCCATGTACTCTATACATATTTGAGACAGGATGGGGGTAATAGAATCACTAACTGTGTGTTTTGTGTAAGGCGAGCTTAGTTGTACTCTAGACTAGGTTTAGACAGGATGGGGGTGATAAAATCCTCGGTCCATCTCACTATGTTGTCCTTAGTTCTTCAGGCCTAATAAGGTTTTGATTACTTTGAGCTTGTGTGTGTTAGTTTATTTTGCATTGCTATATTTCTTCTTTGCTCCTGTGTATAATTATGCCTTGAATAACTTGATACATTTTATCAGGTGAGGAAGGTTAATGATGTTGGTACCTCTTGATAAATGATAGAGCACAATCTAATCAGGTTATCTATTTGGTACAATCCACTCTTTTGCCTTTTGTTTATAACAAACATGATTTATATTTGGATGAGAATTAAAAATAAGTTACAGATGCTCTGCATGAGTACTTCTGTACCTACTTTGGTTCTTTGAGAGCAAAGGCCATCGACTCTTGGATCAACAAATATTCAGTTACTATTATAATATTTTTTGGGTGAACATTTGCTTAAATGAGTTTATTCTCTGGGGACAAGAATAGTAAAATTCAGATAATATTCCTAATAGATATTATGACTACTGGATGTAATTCGCAATTAGCCTTTTATTTTCTTCTTACTCCTCTTTCTGGCTGCACTTTTTATTACATCTCTTTTAATCTGTAATTCAGCATAATTGTTGTGTTGTTTCCATAATCATGTGCCAGTTGAAACTGTAGGAGTTTATAGGTACTACGCAGCGGAAAAACATGAATCATATTCAATCAAGTACCAATCCCAAGAATCACATGCATAACACACAAGACACATAATCATACCTTTGACGCGTGAATTCCACGAAGTTATTCGACAGGCAAATCAGGGTGAGAATAGAGCCCCAAGCATTGCTCCTCTACTTAGTCCACGAGATTCGAGCGAGCCGTCCACCAATACTAGATTGGTCGAGTGATTGAGGATAACCGCGATCACCACCTTTATGGACAACCGACCACCACACGAACCACCACCACCACGACACACCACCGGCGCCTGGGAGGAGGAGAGAGCCGTGTGAGAGAGAGGACTTTGAGAGGGGTTGGGTTTTGTGTTTGCTAATTAGGGTTTGATCCCACTCATCAGTTAATTGCTTACTTTTCATTGCAAACCTAGACACCTAGTCTATTTATAATCGCATTATGATTAGACTAGGGCACGAAGCCCAATAACCACTTCTAATCCTCTACATGGCCGGCCACCTAGAGTGATGAGGCCCATGATAGGCCTCGTCCTCTAATGCTCGATCTAGCCCCTTTGTGTGACCTTATAGGATCCGTCCAATTGGACTTTGGGCTATTTCACTAGTCCAAAGATCGTTAGTACCTCTAGCTATGGCAAAACGACGACCCAAATGTACGAACTTAATTATCTCCATGATTTGATCCATTTATATATCTAGTAATTGCACACGACGAAGACATAACTCCTTCAATCTCCCACTTGTCTGAGACAAGGGTGCAATATTCAAATTCCTTAAGTCAATGTATGTGTCGATTTGATAATATGATTGCATCACATGTCGAGATCATATTAATCTACAAATCGTTTCTTGAAATCTGAGTTAGAATTACAAAACCAAATGATTACTGTGTAATGCATTTGAACGCGGCCACGTATTTTCTGAATTCTCCCTCTTCAAGCGGCCATGACACATTTCCTAATTTAATAGGTAGACTTTATCCAATCTTGTGGTAACATGACTCCCACTCAACTTCTGAAATAACCGGGAAAAACCCTTTATAATCTCCAGTTACGGCTAGACGTTTGAGTGTACCATAGTCACAACATCCATTGAATGAAATCAATGTTTCACTCATGTCCAAGGAATCCACTGATATATACGGAAGCTCTATACTTGAACTTCAAAGTAGGTCAATAGTTCGATCATGCATCATTCATGCATATCAAAGTGATTGATCGAGCATCACCATGCCCCTATAACCCATGAAACTGCGCTATCCAATCAATCTTACATGCTAGTTCATTTATTGAAATCATTTATGTCCACTTTAATGATCTCGAACCAGAAACCTTAAATAATATATGAATTTTGTTCACCTGTGAAGTTTCAATTCACCAGGTCATCAACCTGATGAGCCCATCAATTCATAATTATTTTGGACATTTTATTTAATTTCCAAAACCATAATTAAATAAGAGAAATAATAATTTCTATTTTAAACATAATTCTACAAATTGATGCATTTCTCATGTAATATGTTTTCTCAAAACATATACAACTTAAATTACATAACTTGCTTCAATCCTAAGACTTTAATATGACTCTCATATCTAAGTCCATGGAAGGGGTTTAGTGATTTCTCACTCATAATAAAACTTTGCAGAACACGACCCTCCGCTGGTCAATGATCTCATAATTGAGGTGATATCTCATATCCTTAAGTTTGGATTTGTGATGTGACTCTGGCTCCTTTGTTCTTGGGCAAAGGTGACCTATTAGTCACATGACATTCTAATCTGAACTTCCTCTGTAACTATCTCACTATAGTTTAATACACATATTCTGACATTGAGTATGCAACAGTGCTCTGCTTTAAACTCTTCAAGCTCACTGTCCTTTTCCATCCAGACACAAATATGCATTTAGATCACCATCTAGAATCATCTTGCCTGTTTGAAAAACTTGCATTTGTGTAACCTTTTGACAACTTGCTTAAATTACCATTTAACACAACATCTAGAAGAATTCCTTTTAGTGCTTCTCAAGTACTCAAGGATATGTTCCTGGTAATTCTCCGTATGCTTATTCTGAATTTGCTTGAAAACTGTTACATATGCATCAGTCATATGCAAAATCTTACTTTGTACATTTCATGGCATAAGTAATGGACCCTTTTTCAAAAGCATGAGGCACATTATCCGTACAACTCAACTCTATTAGCTTTTGAAGGCACTGAGTTTTACTGAGTGTAATACCATGAAACATGGGAAGACATCCTCTCTTAGAGTCTTGCTTTATGAACTTGTCAAGATCCTTATCAACATTAGTCTCTCGATTCATTCTAATCATTCCTCAAGATTCACTTCATGGATCTTAATTCCCAATATGTACTCAACATCTCCTAGGTCTCTCATATAGAAACAATCTTTCTAACCATTTCTTGATTTATTCAAGCATTGATGTATCATTTCATATGAACTGTATGTCAACTACATACTAGACTAAAAAGACCAATTGCTCCCACTAAACTTCTTGTCTCTACAAGATTCCTTTTCGTTCTATTAAGGAAATCAAACTGTTTGATTGCCTAATCAAAACGAATGGTCCAACTCCTTAATGCTTACTTCAATCCATGAATGAATTTCTGAAGTTTGCAAAACTTTCTAGGAAATTCTGGATTTCAAACTCTTAGGATGTATCATATACATGTTCACCACCAAGAACATTTCATGAAGGTGATTTTGATATCCATAACTAGAATAATCCGAATAGGCTTATCCAACTAATAGGTTTGACCCTATTTGTAAGACTATTATGGACTAACACATCTTTACAAACATGGAGTCCATTCTAGATTTTCATGGCTTTAAGCCATTTCCTAAGTTGGTACTTATCCAAAGCTTGCTATTGTAAGGCATGGATTCTAACCGTTCTAATAAGAAAATTTTAGAATCCACCTTTTCTCAGAATTTCAACAAACTGTTTGTTTTGATCCCAAGTAACCTACGATAGGTATGAGTGACAATAGAATTATTCTCTTCAACTCTTTGAAGTCTTTCATTCTAGTGGGACGATAGAAGCCTCGCTAGTGGAATTAGCTTGCTTCGACACATGGTTTATCAAATTAGCTGATTTCATGCGCATTCGTCTCTGATGTAGTGTTATCCACATCCATTTGTTGCTCGTCTCGAATCTCATTGAGATCTAAATTTACTCCCACTTGGCTTTGTAGAAATACATTCTTTCTATAAAGACACTATCGCGAGCAACAAACACTTTGTTTCTACGCGGTTGTAGGAATAATACCTTTTAGTTTTCATGAGAAAACCCATGAAGAACTATTTTTCTGATTTAGGGTGTATTATGTTATCTTTGTACACATTTTACATTGATTTCATATCCCTCAATCCTGTTTAGAAAAGATAACTTTTGGAACATTTCCAAATCATAACTCTTATGACATCTTTTCTTCTGCTTTGGATAATAAGTTTCCTGTTTAGTATAATCGCAATTGTTTTTGTAATGTATGTCCTCAAAACGATATTTGTAAATCATTAAATCTTGGATCGAACAATGGCAAGCAAAGTTTGATTCCTTCTTCATAAACATACACTTTAATTGTAATGTTTCTGGATTGTGAATTAATTCAACAATTCCCTCTAGATGATCATTCCTTTTGA